AAAAATAGTGGTCAATGTGCACGTCCACTAAACGAAAGATCAAATACTCACCAATAAAAATCTAAAACAAAATTATCGCTTATAGCATTGAGCGACAGAGCGGGTCAGTTGTACCTGCAAAGTTTGAAGTCACGGATTCAAAGCTTACCAATACAAGCCTAGTCAGGAAAGGTGTTTTTAAGGACAGAGGTCGTAACCCATATTCTTGGTATGCATAAAGCCTAGTTAAACTAATTAAATCGCTTGTTTTACCTTTCCTTTCGATACGGCATCTTATTTAAATGAAACTAAATAATTGCTAGCATACGATAGAACTGGCAATACAGGCTCCAAACAGAGGCAATCCAATTGTTGCAGAAACAAATTAATCGTTTTTAGAGACGCATCAGCAGGTATATGGATAGCTGTACCCAACTGCAAAGTGCTTTGTTTGAAACCGATCAAAGCAACCCACAATTCGTCAGATAGGGTGGTTGGATGCACGGCGCATATAATCGATTGAACTCGCAAGTTCGCAAAACCTCCAGTTTGCATTGCCTTAGAGCGGTAGAAGCCTAGCTTAAGGAGAGGCCAATGGGGAAATACACTTAAGAATTAGTCCTTCTAAACCCAGCCACAAGGCTTTCAAATAAATATCTTCTGTGAGGACAAAATGGCCTTGGGACCGATAAGCAGAAAATAAAATCGAGAAAGTAATGAGGTATAAAAATTGATAAATTAGTTAAAGGCTAAAAGAATAGCCATAAAAAGAAGAAGGTATTAAGAAGAGCCTGTAAACAACTGACACCAAAACAATGATAAGTAATTATATTGATGAGGAAAACCATTTGTAACATGAATGAAAAAATCTAACTAGGTATCAAAAAAACTTACTGGAAGCATATTACGATGGAGAGGCGAAAGATTACCATAACCCGTGTAGAAATTTTCTTCGGTATTATCCATCGCCGCTTTGATTTCCTTTCCTTCCACAGCTTGCCTCAGCACTTCAATATCACGCTTTTCTACCACACAACCCGAAGGCATGGTTCCAGCAGGAATGCCGAGGGTATTTGCCAGATTCTGGAATGCCAACATTCCGGTGGTTGAGTGGGATGGACGCAATGGAAGAGCTACAGCAAAACCCGCAACTGGACAGAGAATAACATCGATGGACTCAGAACGGAGACTATCCATTACCCTATTCCGGAATTCTTTGATCCGCAAGATATGAGATTCAAGCTGTTCGACGCTGGAAAAACCTCTGATAGAATTCAAAACTGCCAGACCCACCCAATCGCCAGTCTATAAGAGCAGAAAGCAATAACCTTCAATAGTTGGCGTATGAGTCATAGAAATGAACATATACCTTTCATCCTACCCAATGCATTTTGGTTCGAAGCCACAAACGGTGGTACCAAGGTGCGATAGATAGTCCGTAGATTACTTGCATACAAGGATCAATCTTGTCGTTTGCAAGAAGAGTCTTTAGAAAGGCGCAACCGTCACAGAAAATGCTCTTCAGGAAGAGATCTAAATAGGCCTTCACTTTGAAGGGCGGTGTCCATTCAACGAGCTGTAGCATTCAAGAATGGCAGTGGTCAAAGTCGTTTTAGAAACATAACTCTATTACTTTGCAGACAATGCTATCTTATAAACATGACTAAATTTCACTTTCATAAGTGATTTGCTAAGCTCGTAATTATGAACGAGCAAACGGGGTGTGCTATAGACTTACCTCCACGTGGTGCACCCTGGGCAACGTATACTCATACAGCGAAAAAGTCTTTTAACCGGCAGTTGACTTCTCCACATACGGCAAAAATGTCTATTAACTGGCAGTTGACTTCTCACTTCAAACTACCAAAGACTCAATAAAAAAGTCTATTATTCGGCAGTTGACTTCTGACTTCAAAGCGGCAAAAAAGTCTATAAACCGGCAGTTGACTTCTCACTATCGGCAAAAAAATTCTATTAACCGGCAGTTGACTTCTGACTTCAACGCAAAAAGGTCTATTAACTGGCAGTTGACTTCTCACTTCAAACTACCAAATAAAAAAGTCTATTATTCGGCAGTTGACTTCTGACTTCAAAGCGGCAAAAAAGTCTATAAACCGGCAGTTGACTTCTCACTACCGCAAAAAGGTCTATTAACTGGCAGTTGACTTCTCACTTCACAAAAAAGTCTATTAACCGGCAGTTGACTTCTGACTACTCAAACGGCAAAAAAGTCTATAAACCGGCAGTTGACTTCTGACTGAAAAGGTCTATTAACTGGCAGTTGACTTCTGACTTCAAAGAAAAAGTCTTTTAACCGGCAGTTGACTTCAAACTACCATGACCCCACTGTATGACTTATTCGACCACTTCCACAGTACTACATCACTTTTTTTCTAGCCCTTCGTCTTTGAAACACTCTTTAGTTCCCCTCCTCTCGACTGTTTTCATTTTGATGTTCCTCCTCCCCTCTGTGAAGCCCGAAGTCAACTAAAGGGCTAATGATAACCATCAAGACGCCTGCCATTTGATATAAATAAATTTCTAAGCCCATGATAGATCTCGGATTTGCACAGAACGAGAACCCAGTGTTTAAATGTTCCTAGTCAACATTTCCACTATTCATTGTTGCGATTTGGACATTCTTCACATCTATGGGGTCTCGCAACGAATCAATGCATATCCCGGAAAACTTTCATGGTCGATTTTTTAAAAATTTCTTTGGAATGGAAGAGGAAAGTTTAGTTTTACTTTCCCACGAGTTGAATATTTCGAGTTACTTAAGCTAGGTTTTGAAGTGATTGCACAAACTCTATTTTAGTAAAACTACCATTTTGAAAGTCCTTCAGAGGAATTAGGCTGAACCATTTAGCTTTAATTTCTTATTTCACCTGGCATTTAAGAACGGATACTTGAGCTATCAAGTTAATTATCTTTTTTGGCAGTTACTATTGCTATTATCATTATAGAGTAAAAAATGTTTTATCCTGGCTAAACGAGTTTTCTATCACTTTAAACCCTCCTCTCAAAAGCAAAATTCTGAAATTTGAGCAAAACAATATGAAACAATTTCTCTTTCCATTGCTAGTTGACTTTAAGTTTTCGTTTTTTGTCCTTTTCCAATCCGACAATAAAATAAGTCCATTTTGTTCCCATTATTCTTATTTTTTTACCACTCAACCTAATTACCTTGATAGATGTCCGGGAGGATCTAGAAGGGCATAAAAGCCATCACATTAATGATTTCTCCTTCAACCATGCTTGTAAAGATTGTGAAATTGGCAAATCCGATTTTATTTATGCCCTAAAACGTCCCAAGCCATTGTCAACTTCTAATCAAGCTATGGAAAGGAATTATACAATTGCAACCCTATTCCATGCTTCTGAGTTCATTGAAAGGAAATGACCTCCTTACGTAAATCTCAGTTTCCACTTGTATGCATCTTTAGAAGCTGAGATTCCAGCAGAGTCACCTATAGCTCAACCAAATGCTTTAAATAATGAAATTCGTTTGAAATTTTTAGTTAGATACGCAGTAAATTATTGGCTGCCTGTGGTAAACTGGCTTTTTAAAGGAGTTTATATTTTCTGGTAAAAATATAGCATTGCAATACTTAATAGTTCAGAGCACGAAAATAGAATCTGTAAGTTTCTTCAGGAAGGACCTAACACATTCCCTTCGGTTTTCTAAGAAATTTTTTTGTCAAGATGGTGAGATAGCAGTTGATATTTTATTGCCTTATCATTAAAATCACTTTTTCCCATCTCTAACGTGATGCATGCCAAAGTATCTAAATCTCCTGGTTTTCCAAGTTGGAGACAATTTAGCAAATACAGCTGACTGAGCTTGATGCAGTTTTACATTCTAACCGTCATTCAGCTATTGCATCTTGAAATGATTTGCCATTTTTTCTTGTGGTTCTCTCCTTCTAACGACTTTGTCTTTAATGTTCCTTCCAGTTGGAACGTGAACGGCTGGCTAAAATGCGGTTGGAACGACTCGAGGGAAGTGGAGATGATCGCGATAAATCCGATTTTACTGGTCCAATCTCCACAACCTCTTGGGAGTCTATTTCAAATTCCTCCTCTTCACTAAATGACAAATTCATTTCTCCAATTCCTCCCACGATGCCTCATCTCCTTGCAGACTGGGACCAAACAACCACGAATTTTGCTGAGGATAACGGTCCCCTGGAAGATGCGCCATTTCCAGATGTCTCGGAAGATCGAACTCTTGAGGATAATCTTCGGCGGGCTGGTCTACAAGCTGCTCTTGAGACATTTAAGGCTAAGTATCCAACACTACCGTTAACTGAGACATCCAGCTGGGAATATGGTATGTTCTGCTTCTCGGTCGTTCATCAATACTGAATTTATTTCGCTTGGTTTTTTGTCTGGTAACCTAACGAAATTAGGCTTATTTTGGCATGATTTAAAGATAAATTTTGTTATTAATTCATGTGATAGACACTATTCTGGCATCGTTTTCTTTTTTTCAATGTGGGTTCTTGATTAGCTATTACCAGGTTTCAAATTCCTTCCATTCTCATATGC